ATAAGAGTGGGTTTTGAATGAGTGTGTTTAAAGTAAATGGAGAAGCAAGTAGGCTGTTGGAGACCTGTGACTATCTGAAAAGCAATTTGCACCCTGAGTAGGAGCATTCCTCCTTGCTGTGAAAAAAAAAAAAAAAAAGACAGAACAAAATTGGCAAATTGGCTATTCTAGACTCAGATCAATCCCTCTGACAGAGTGATGTCTCTGCTTGCTAGTTTCAGTCTTTCTGGGAGGGGGGGCAGCAGGGAGAGGGAGGCCGTTGACCCTTCTGTTTCCAGTGTAGTAAAGGTGCCCGGGGGTGGGGGGCTGCTGCCATCTGGACCTGGCCATAGTACATGAGGGTCAGCTGGGCATCGCTGAGGATCCCAGTGTCTTTGGTCTAGTTTCACTGCCTTCAGTGGGAAGCTCTTATTGTTTCCTTGGGATGGGTTCACCAGGTAAAATTAGAGAGCTAACCTCACTTGGTCTTTAATGCCATACTTTCTTTTTAGCAGGGGAGAGGGCAGGAGGGTAGACTGCCAGGCTTTGCAAAAATTGTAAATGCTAGAATGGCACAATGATCAAAGAATCCTAAGATACTTGTTTGACTCATGAAACTTTATACCAAAAGCAAAATCCATCCCAAGGTTAGGTCATCTGACTCATCCCCCTCATTTCTGACATTTTAGAAACAGCAAACCCAAGTCCGTGACAGGGAAGGTGAGTTGCTTCAAGTCTCAGGGCTGGCATGTTGCTATTCCAAATCCCAGTCTGCTGCTCTGCCTTCGGTACCCAGTGCTCAGCTGAAGACTGAGTTCAAGTGAGGGTGTGGAACACACTGAAGGGGTTGTCAGGACCTGCATGTGGTCTATTGTCTCATCTTCCTTAGGGCTTCCAGAAACTTCTGGGCCCTACAGGCCATGTGACATTAGCAGGAAAGACAAATCTGTTCTAACTGGCAGGCAGTGGGGAGGAATCTTAGGTAAGTCAGTAAACCTGTCTGTGCTCCAGTCTCCTTACTTGTAAAATGGGGCTAACCATGGTCCCTGGGGGCTGTTGTGAGGACCGCACGAGCAAATTGCTACATACGCAGCCAATTTTTGCCCACAGTGGATGCCCATCAATGTTATCCTCTCTCTGCCAGGGCCTCTTATAGATATGCAGTGAGGGAATGCAAGAATGCTGTCTTCCCTGCTGCCTGCGGGATTCTTCTACAGGTAACACCTGCCATTTGCTGGGGTGTTGTGTTATAGAAAGGCCCAGAGCACATTGGGAAGGTCTGGGGATGAGACCAAAGGATCAAAATCATTCTGCAAAATAGTCAGTAAAATTTGAATTTCTGCACAGTTTGTGAGGGGAGGTGGGAAGGGAAGTGGAAACGGGGAGAAGAAAGACATAAAAGCAGGTAGGAGGGAGAGTGGCTTGGTGCAGGTGGCGGAGGGCTGAACTCCAGGGAGGAGGACTGTCCCTTGAGAAATTCCCAGTGGCAGGAAGAGTGGAGACCTTACAGCAGTGGCCCCCAAATTTTGGTACTAGGGACTGGTTTCAGGGAAGGCAAATTTTCCACGACGGGGGTGAGGGTGGGGGTGGGCAGGGGGAATGGGGGTGAGGGAGGTGGAGCTCAGGCAGTGATGCGAGTGATGGGGAGCAGCTGTAAATATGGATGAAGGTTTGCTGGCTTGCTCACCGCTCACCTACTGTCCCGGTCCTCAGCCCAGGGGTTGGGGACCGCAGCCTTACAGGAACAGAGGGGTCTAATACTCAGTCCTACACCGTCTGCTGGGCTGCTCTGCGATGTGACACACCACCGTCCCAGCTTCTCTACATATCCTAAATCCTTCCACAGATGTGGCTGGACACACATGTGGGCTGCTGTTGGAACTTGGGGGAAATCAAGGCAAAGGTAGCTACATTCTGCTATTTGGGCAAGTAAGCCACATGGCCTGAACACATGTGATTCAAAATTTGGTGGAAACAGAAAACTGTAACGAGAAGTGAGGAGGAGAAGCAGGCGCCCTGCTCTCCCTACCCCATCCTCCTTGGTCCCAGGCCATATGAGGTGAGATGGGACCACTGCGTTTGGATATGAAAGAACACAGTGGACCCTAGGCCCAAAGGCTATAGCCTCGGCTGCACTTCAGGTAAAGGTTGCATTTGCTGCCCCATTTCATCCTCCTGGTGGCCTCATGCAGAGTCATCATTAACGCCACCTTCTGCATGAGGGCACTAAGACTCGGATAGGAGAAGGGTGCGAAGAAAGGTTCTCGTCCCCGTGCTCACCCAGGCTCACTGCCCCGACTGAAGCCCTGGAATGGTCCACTGAGTCCTGAGCACAGTGGAGTGGATGTGAGGTGGCGGATGGCTGGGGCCAGTCTGGATGGAGATGGGAGGCTTGTGTCAGGACTCAGAAATCCTTTCACTAGTGTACAAGGCTTGGTTTTCGGTGGCTCCCCTGTGTATCTGTGTTGCTGCTTTAGCGTGTGCATGTGGCCCTACATCCCGGGCCTCTGCTGGTTTACTGCTGATGGTGACAATTTCCAGCAGCAGGTAGCAGAGGGCTCCCTGCAAGGTGTCTGGCTCCCTGCAAGATGTCTGGCTCCCACTCCTGCCCTCCCTAGTGACAAACCACACGCCACCCTTGGAGCTTCCTCCCAGGAGTTTCTGGAAGATGGTTCTCCTCTGCCTGGAATGTTTTCCAATGGCTTTTTTTTTTTCAAAAGGGCCAATTTGCTGCAAACTCCTCGTGTGACCTTAGGCAGGTCACCCTGATTCCTTGGGCCTCAGCTCCTCATCTGTGCGCTGGAAACACTAGCCCCCACCTCGCTGTTGCTTGCTCGTTGGCTTGAGGCTAAGATCACCCCAAAGGAGGTGTGGGAGGGTCTGTAACAAAAGTTCACAGCCCTAGTAGGAATTATTATTAGCATATTAAAAAAAAAAGTCTGGTTGCGGAAACATTGAATTGTCAAATGAAGTTAGTTTTGGATTAGTTTGTGTTCTCACATTCCCAGTCATGGCCCAGATAAGAAGGGATCTCATAAGTGATACAAGTGATGTTTCCAAAATTTGGGGATTCTATGGACCAAAAAAAAATTCTCCCAAAATGAAAATTCAGGGACCAACATGGAGCAGACAACTATTTTTTGCCAGTTGTGATCATTAAGACAAAACAAAATAACTCTGGCAGAAAGCAAACCAACTTAACTCCCACGTATATCAACTCCACGTTGTAAAAGAAAGGACGTTTTAATGTCCCCAAAGGTGGGAAGAACCATCTCCGAGGCAGAGTGCCCCTTCCATTCAATATAACTGGCCAGGCGAAAAAGGGGCTACTTTGTCTTTTTTCCTGTTCTGCTCTGGACTGATGAAAACTTTGGTGTGGAACCAGAACCACTAGGGAGAACCCTTGTGCTTGGCAGCCTAGGACTGAAGTGCTCTGCAGGAAAGGAAACTGAGCTCCACAATGCCTGAGGTCCTCTATCACCGAGATCACGTTCGTGGTAAAGATTGCCTCTCCCTGTTAAAAATATTCTTATTCCAATCTTCCTTGGAAAATCTGGGTGCAGATGGTGAAGGAATGGTGCTAGCAGGGAGGGGAGGATTATGTCTACTCAGGTGCTTTGTTGCTTTGATTTTTGCAACACGGGTTACAGGTGAACATGTGTTATATGCTTAACTCAAACATCTGACTCCAAGCCAGGTGACTACAGAGGTCAGCAAACTGCCGTTAGTGAGCCCAGTCTAGCCGGCGCCTCATTCTACACACAAAGTTTTATGGAAACGTAGCGGTGTCTGCACATATGCATGTCGTCTGGTGGCGTCAGTGCCACAACAGCGGAGCTGACAGCTGCAATGGGGGCTTCATGGCCCACCATGCCTAAAATATGTACTCTCTGGCCCTTCAGGGGAAAAGTTTACCTACTTCCGCAGTATACCATGCTCCTGTTTACATTAACGTGACTGTCTACACAGACACTATGGGAATTGAGGCCAGATGCTGAATAATTCCAGCCAAGGTTGAGATACGGCTGACAAAGTTGCGATTCTGAATCTGCCTTGAAAGATCCAGAATCTTGTCTGTTGGGGCCTTCTGCTCCTCCTTTCTAAGTGTCTGGGTGACAGACTGAAGGGAAGCCCCGGCCGAGGTGTCCCTACCCTGGTGCCTACGCGGACCCACTTCTTTCCTTCTTTCTCTGAGCGGTCTGCTTATCCAGCTGGGCTTGCTCTCTAGGTTCTAAAGGTGACAGGGTTAATGTTCTTGGGTGGAAAAGACACTGTACTACAGATGATGACATCCAGGTACTAGGTGTGGCTCTGTACCACCGGGGACAAGACACCTTACTTTCCCTTTCTGGGTCTTACTTTTCCTCTTCTGAGCAAGGAAAACATGAATCAAATGAGTTCAAAGTTTCTCGCCTTCAGTGTTAACTGAGCTCTGTGTATCGTCCCTCTGGGGCCAGTAGACATAAGGCCTTAATTAGTGACTTCAGTGACTGGAAATGCATGGAGTGAGGAGGGAGTCTGCATCCACCAGCCCTCGACTTCATTTTGCATTTGGCGATTGTGCCAGTTGCTATGTGCTGGTTGCCATGCTAAGCAATTTATAGCTGAGGTCTGACTGGCTTTTTCACTACCTTGATGAGGTAGGTATTATTATTCCTAATTAATAGACGAGGAGCTGAGGCTCCCAAGAGGGAAGTCAAGCCAAGATTCATACCCCCAGTTGCCTGATTTTGGGTTTCAAGCTCTTAACACAAGGCCTGCCTTCCACAGGCTGTGTTCCTGTCCGTGAGATAGCCTACTCCAGAGGCAGAATTAGTGGGAGTGTCCAGGGCTGGCGGGAGACTTGGTCAGGGGCTCCTGACATGATCCAGAGGCATCAGCTCAGCCTGAGTGCCCCCCCTCCCCTCCCCCCACGCACTTGACTGCTGGTCCCGGCATATCTGGTTGGCAGTCAGGCACCACACCTCGTGGTGTCATCTGGACGATCCACCACACATTTACTCCTAATCCCGAGATCTTACCTCCTTTAAGGGGGAAGTTGTCGGGTGGGTTGGGAATGGTGTCCTGGAAGAGAAGAGAGAAAAAAGCAGCATGAGGCAACGTTCAGTTGAAACAACTTGCCTTTTCTTTTCCATTGGGGTTGTCCTTAAAGGACTGTGCAGTTTAGAACTCACCCTCCACCTGATTCTTAAATTTTAAAAATGAATTCGCTGACTTAGTTTCCATTAGCTTAACGACCGACCTATGAGAAATGAAGATGAGGACATCCATCCCCATTTCACAGGCTGGAGACGCGGGGCTGGGTGAGAGAAGAGGACTTTCCCACGGCCGCACAGCGGGTTCATGGCAGCTCAGGGACAGGTCTGGGGCTTTCTCCCCTTCCATAGGTGTTACTGTTTTTCCTTTGGTCAACATAAGAATAATCAAGTACAGTGTAGAAGTACATGTGGTTTCTTTTTTCCATGTTTGATTCAGCTGTGAAAGTATGTTGTAAACATACCTGGAAAGGTATGTCTCTATCTCTCCTGCGGTTGGAAATTCTGAATTGTTTATATGCCGAGCATCGTGAGGATGTCGTAAATAATTAAATTGGGTCCCTGCCCTCATGGATCTATTACAAGTTTATATTTAAATATGGTAATAATATGCAAATATGTACGAATATGTAACATAACTAAATATAAAATGCATATTATATATTTATACATTTACATTATATACTATGTAGTCTATAATAAACGTAAATATATGCATCACTATTTACACAGATAAATAAAAGGTTGATAGAAACAGATTGTCTTCTGAAGGAGAGAGTCCTGGTTTTGGAGATTGGAGGTGATTAATGGAAGGGCTAGTTCAGGTGCTCTGAGCAAGGAGTTAGGAAAAGTGGAGGGCCTAGTTCTCTCCTATTTTTGACATCCCTAGGAGCTGCATCCTGTGCCTTCCACTGACAGCTTGTTTTCTGACAAAAGCACCTCTCCTCCTCTCGCCCCAGCGGGTGGTACTGAGTCAAGGTCTCCTGAAGGCAGAGCCCTGCAGGGCTCTGATCTGGAGATGCGGGACATTTGGGCCTCAGCTTCTCAGGGCAAGGGGGGCGAACTTGACCCGGAGGGTCCTTCCCTGTCTGCTGCGATAGTCTACAACTGTACTGCCTTAGCTGAAAGCTTTGAGCCTAATTAACAATGCTGTACATTTGCGGTCTCTCAGTTACGCACACAGTTCGTAGGAAAATCTGACATCACAAAATTCCCCTTTGCGTTGCCTCCACGGGACAACAAACAGCATTTCGAAATTTAATAAATAACTAATTTACTGCCAAGCATGACTGTGGAGTAGTGCGATGTACAAATGCATAAAGAGAGAATATCTACATTTTAAATGTGGCACTAAGATTGTCAAATTCATCAGCTGCCCAGGAACTCATCCAAGGACAGAGAGAGAATGCTAGGACAGCAAAACCGGCGGAGCCGTCCCCCCAGAGGCCACGAGCAGTCGGGGAGGTTCCGCAGGGCCACTTGTTCAGCACACCTTTGGTGAGCACCTGGTCTGTGGCAGAAACTGTGTGACTTATTATTGGACGACATCCCATGGATTTTATGGTTTCGTCATTAAGGCAGTCACTTAAATAAATACAAATAAATATATAATTAAATTGCAAGTTGTGGCAAGGGCTATGAAGGAAAAGAATCATTAGAGTGTTTTAGGTAGTGCTTCTCTAGCTTTAGTGTGCGTACGAGCACCCTGGGGAGCTTGTTAAAATGCCAGTGCTGATTCAGCAGGTTTGGGTAGCCCTTGACACTGTGTTTCTGGCAAGCTCCCAGGTGATGCCAACGCTCTTGGACCACAGACCACACTTTGAATAACAAGGCTCTAAGAGGTCATTTCAGAGAGGAGGACTTAATTTATATGGGGGTCCAGGAAACCCCTCTTCTGTCTCTTGAGTGCTTTTTGGGTTTCCTAACTTCAGACAGGGCATGTCAGAAGCAAAGCATCTCAGTACAGAAAAGAATCCTGTTGCTTAAAGCTTCACCCAGGGGCCAGGGCATCCAAGACAGAAGAGTGACTATTCCCAATTTGAAGAGCTCTTGGGACGAGGTTTCTATAGCTTCCCCTAGCTGCCCATGGGAGTCAAAATTAGGGGGTCAGCATTAGAGGGGGAATGTAGACATCTTTTAGTCCATCAAGCTCATTTGGTAGAGGAGGAAACCGAGGCCCTCGTGACTCAGTAGCAGATCCTGGACTGAAATTCTCCAGTGTACTTCTTCACTGCATAAGTAGAGATGTTGTCTTCAGAAACCAAGGATAGGAAAGCTCATTCCTCCCTCCTCCCTTAAGCAGTCCTTGCATTTGGAAGTGGAGAAGCAGAGTTTAAAGAGATGAAGACTGTTAAGATTTGCTAAAGACAGTTTATGCCCCAGGTACTATGCTCAGTGCTGTTGTCCATCAATTCCTTTGTGGCAAAGTGCCCCCCCCTCCCCCCGTCCGTCCTAGAATTCTCCCCCAAATCTTGGCTGGGGAAGTGTGAACCATCTTGCTCAGTGACTTGGCTCTGGGTAAGGTAGTACCTAGGCTGGACACAGACACAAACAAATGGACCCTCCTAAGTTGTCATTCCCAGAGCCATTGAGTTGTTCAGGAAACTTCCTCTCTGTAAGTACCAACCATTTACACTTCCTTAAGCATACTTCCTCTTCCCCCGCCCTCCCCTGCCCTGCAGCCTCTGTGGATGTCTGGCAGTATTCCCAACAATAATAAAGTGATTTCCGTGTATGGAGAGAGGAGCTGTCATGTTTAACCTGTTTGTCCCCAGGTGAAATGGCCCCCTTCCCAATCATCTTCCCTGCCTACGACTGTTTTCTCTCCTTCTTTGATCACTATGATTGGAGGGTTAGTAATCCACTTTTCCACTGAGTTGTTGCAGACATAATGAGATATTGTATATAAAGTGTTCACAAGTACTTGAACATGGTCACTATTTGGGGCACTGCCTTGCTCTTAACGATGTGCTTAATTTGCCCCAGCACCTTGAAGGGCCCATTTCTTTTCACAGAACAATATTGTGCAGGTGCAGTCAGCTCCCAAATTTGCTGTCGACACAAAATGCCCTCTCTGGCTGAAAGTGATCAAAAGCAACTAATGTTTAGAATGCGCCAGGGGGAATTGCACATTTCTTTCCTTGCTGGCCTCACATGGTCCTGTAAGGTGGGCTCATATTCTGGCTCATAGTCCATGGAGGCCTTTGCTAGGAATGCCTCTTATTTTAAAGCTAATGTGGTCAAACACTTAATGAGGGTTACTCCTGAAGCTAAACACTTTATATGTGTGATTTTTATTTGGCCTTTACCTTGGCCCCAAGAGTTAGGGTTTGACTAAGATTCAGAGAAGCGATTACATAATGTGATAATGATTATAGAAGGTCCCATTGGCAGTGAATAGCGTAGAATGGATTCAAGCTCAGGTGAGCTGACTTTGAAGGCAGTGTCTTCCATGCCCTGCTACATTGCTTGTCTAGATCAGGGCAGCATGAAGCTGAGGAGCAAATTCTCCTGCAGCTCAATGGAAAAGTGAATAAAGGTCATGGAAAATCCCCAAGGGAAAGACTATTTTTATTGGGAGTACCCGGTTTGGCATGCTCCACAAAAGTGGGAATTGGAACAGAGCGGCTTAAACCAGTGCGTTTCCCACGTGAAAGGATTTACCATCACTTGAGGTTCTTATTAAAATGCAGATTCTGATTCAGTAGGTATGGGATAGGCCCTTAATTTTTCATTTCTAATGAGCTTCCAGGTGACCCCAATGTTGCTGGGCCATGGACCACACCTTGAATAGCAAGGGCTTAAAGACATTAATCAATAGGTAATCAGAACACATGAGGTCTTGAGAAATGGCTACAGGAGGCGGACTATGGATTTGGGCTCAGATGTAGGTTTAGTAAATCCTTCTGGTTTGAAGATAGGGGTGGCATCTGTCCTCTTAGCCTCTTTTATCAATGCCTTTTTCCACCTACTCCTACTTCCTGACCCTCTGTACAGTCCGGACTGACTTGCGTTCTGGTCCTCTCCTCACACCTGAGCTTGCCTTCCTCTGAGCTGTGCTTCTGCTCACTCTTTTCTCTCCTGGAGCATCCTGCCCGGCCTCCACCTGCCACCATCCTTCCAATGGTGAGCTTTTCTCTACAGAACGGTGCCGGCTAATAAATGAGGTAGGAATGCCAGAATTAGGCAATCACCCTTCTTGCCTCATTGCCTTCAAAGGATCATCAAGAAATGTGAAAACCTCTGAGTGTGATGGATATTTAGGTCTTCAAAATATTATCTCCTATATTACTATTAATAAGAAAGAAACAATGTTTCGCAAAAGAAATAGCGAGTGGTCACCATCTTAATCAAGTGACTAAACATACAATCGGTTCAACCTGCCATATGCCGCTATCTGCGCTACAATAAGAACTATATGGCATTACCTGTGTACTCCTCTTACCAAAAATGTCTCCTCTGAATGTAATCATGAGTAAACACAAAGACAAATCCAGAACAGAATTGGCCTGGACCCTTCAAAACAGTCAGTCATGCAAAACAAACAACAAAGGGCAGGGAGATTGTCAGATAAGCGCTTCTCAGACTTTAATATGCATAAGGATTGGGCGGGAATTTGGTTAAAATGCAGATTTTGATTAAGTAGTTCTGGGGTGGCGCTTAACATTCTGCATTTCTAACAAGGGCCCAGGACCACTCTTTAAATAGCAACATTCTAGATTAAAACGGACATAAGGATAGCATGGTGTGTGACCCTACCTTGGATCACACCCAACAAAACACAACAGCTATAGAAGACATTTTTGGATAGGTGGAGAAATTAAAGCATGGGCCATATGTTATTATTAGATCATATTACTGAATTAACATGAACTCTCTTGGCTATGATAGTGGCATGGTAAGAGGTGGGTACTGAAGTATATGTGGGTGAGGAGTCATGCTGTCTACAACTCACTTTCCCATATTTACGCAGAGAGAGAGCACAAATACAGCAAATTGCTGACACACCAATCTAGGTGAAAGGTTATATGGGTGTGCACCAATCTGTAGGTTTGAAAATATTCCAAATGAAGGTTTGGGCATAGAACACGATTCTTATAATTCTTGGGAGACCTGGCTTTGGTTCTAGTTCATCTGGGAACCCCTCCTCATCCTAAGCAGAGTTTACCTCTACTCGGTCTGTGGCATTTTGCGCCATTCTGCCCGGGAATCAAGCACTTGGTGTCTGAGCTTGACTTCATGTTCTCGGTTTGGCATAGAGTTCCCAGAAGACGGGGTCCTGCCCTGCCTGCTTGGGTCTGCCCCTCACAGCCAGCACAGGGCTTGCTCCTGGGAAGACTTACAGTGGGTTTTTTGGGATTGATAAATGGAATGAATATCAGTTAGAGGAAAGTGTAACAGGGCATTTCACCTCGCTCTTATATTGAATCTGAGCTTAAAAACAAACCACAAAATAGTTCCACCACCGACAATCACTGCTCTTAAACAGGTGCTCAGCTCTGCTGCTGGTAGAGGGAGTGGTACTATAAGGATTCTTTTTGTTTAAAAAAAGAATTTTCTTTGCTTATAAAGGGAAAAGAGGAACCTGCTTTCTCTTTCTTTCTAGAAAATGGTCTACTTGGAAACCTAATAATTCTGAGTCCTTGATTTAACTTTTTGGAATGCAACTATTTATATTCTCTCCTGGGACTAGACAAGTCCAGTCTCTTGGTTTACAAAACAGTGATGCCTCTGAGTTTGAGGGCCTCGGAGCCCCCCACCCCACCCCCTGAAATGTAAACACCTACTTCTGGCGTTAACCTAGGAGTCTATCTCATTATGCATTCCTTTGCCTCTGGAGGAGATAAGAGCAGTTTATTGTTTTTTTCTTTTGCTTTGCTATATACATTACATGAAATTGCATCCTGACTTTGTAGTCTCTTGCAGGCTACCCATATGCACATACTCTTGTGCCTCCTCAACACAAAAAGAAATAAATCATTTTTTTTCTTTCCATATTGATGTAAAGAGGGGTCTCTTTGTTGGTAGGACTTTTACTTCATCAAAGGTACACTGGTGCAATCTCTTTGGAGGCTGATTGACAACATTTATTGAAATGAAAATGAGCGTTCTATCTTTACCACTAAAAAATGGTTCTATCTTTACCACTATATTTTACCACTAAAAATTAATCGCACAGACACACTCACAGACATGCACAGAAGACAAAAATTCTAGAGAAAAATATTAGTGTCTCTCACTAGGCATGGTCAAATTAAGTTATGGAGTATTCCTACAATAGAATAGTATGCAACTCTTCAAAAGAATGAAATGGAATTCTATGTATTGAGATGTAAGGATCTCTAAGATGTACAGTGAACACTTATTCAAGTGAATAAAGCAAGATGCAAATATATGGGTTTATATAATGCCATGTGTATACTGTACATTTGTAGATGCACTTATTTTTGGAAGGAAACATGAGAATCTGTTAATGGTGGTTATCTCAGCAAAGAGGGATTAGTGGTTGGATGGAGAGGATGTCAAAGGATTTTACTTTCTTTTATTTCCCCTGATTTGTAAACCAAGTAAAGTACATAGATTACTTTTCTTAAACCATGTAAATATAATATTTTATAATAGACATACTGGTTTAAATGTAAACAAAACCTAACACAACCACCACGTGGTTTTGTTCAAGGCTATATACCTAGTGCTTAGACCAATGTCCCCTTCCCAGTAGATAGTCAGTAAATATTAGAGATTGAAACCTAAGTTCCTTTTTGTCTCTCCCAAGGAGTTTGACCTTGGAGCTATTTGATCTTCAAGTCAAACCTCAAGGCAATCTTTATTGATTTTCCTGCATGCCGTATACCTTCTCCTCTCCACTTCTGTGTTCACGCTCTTCCATCAGCCAGGGGTGCCTCTGCCCTGCTCTTCCTTCCCTGCCTGTTTGAAATTGTTCATGTTTTTCAAGCCAACCTGAAATTCCAATCTCAAGGGAAGTTTTCCTTAAGCCTTCCCCGGGGAAATGCCCTCTCTCCTTAACTTGTGGTCTCATGGTAGCCCTATATGTCATGGTAGCCCTTCCAGCACTTTTTATATATTATGACCTCGCTGTTTTCAATTTTGTCTATACATGTGCCTTTGGATCTAGAACTGGGTGACTGCTTGTGCCGGTAAAACTATTCTTACTGTTCTCCTTCCTGCTCCCATCCCACACAGGGAGTGCAATGTAGCCACCGACTCATTCCACTTTTCATAATGGGCATGTGAGTCTAAGCTCCTTGGCTTTCTCCCACTGGTTTCTTTCCCAGAGCCCCTTTGAGTCTCTTCACTTGTCTGAGTTCTTCCTGTTTTAAAGTCGGTCTACATTCCCTCTTCCTCTAGGAAGCCTTTCCTGATATCTCAAGTTCAAGGGGATAACATTTTCTTCTTAGGTCTTACAACAGTGAATGTCCGAGCAATGTATTGGAAATGATATGTGCAAAGTACTTGACACTTAATATATCACAACTGCTATTAATATCACAGGCCTTAGTTTTAAGGAAGTAAGTGATATTTGTCAGCCTAAGAAATCACAGCACACCAAACCAGACATTCAGACTGTGAAGGGGATCTTTTCATATCCCAGCATGAGGGATAAGTCAAGGAAATGGATGCGTAAGAGGGTAAAGCTCCCAAGAGAAGAGCGGGAACAAAGTTTCTTTGTGCTTCTGTGGTTGTCGGTGTTGGGAAAAGGAAAAGCTGCTCTCACTAAACAATCAAGCAGTCTTGGCTTTGCCACTTTCTCGGGGTGACTTAGTTCAAGCCCTGTTCCCTCTCTCTCTTCCTCATTTTCCACATTTACAAAAACAAAGCAGAAAGATCCACTTCTGTTCCTTCAAATCAATTCCACTAAAAGTTGGATTTGGTTGAGGACTATTCTGGAACTCCCTCGGAATACCACCATTGAATACCACCATCCTCACCCCTCCTCCCACCATGTTGATCTTTCTCTCTCTTTCTTAGCAGCTCCAGCTATAACCTCTCACTAAAGAACTTCTTAAATGCTACATCCATTTATTTTCTTTGGCCATTGCTATAAAATGACACATCCCTGGTTGACTACAAATTAGAATCATAGAAACCGTAGACCCTCTACAGACCAAAAGTGCCCTAGAATGTTTTCAAGAGTAATATTATTGGTAGGTGCAGATGAGCTTGTTCAATTATGAATTTTACAAATTCCCCTGTCTAAATCAAATGTCTGTAATTTCCTTTTCTCACTTATGGAGATGTGAGCTTCAATGCTGCATTTAAATTTCAAAGCTTGAAGACACTTGAGAAATAGGCTTTTTGGAACCTAGTTCTTTTTATTGATTGATAAGCTGTGGAGTATTTGGCCTAAGACAACTGCAAGCAAACCAGAATAAATTCCACAGGATTCTAATACCTTGAGAAGTGGGAGCTGTGAAGTAAAAAGTAGAAATGTTCTCACTTTGGCAGGGTTTGCTAGGGAGTTGGGGGGTACATTTCTTAAATTACCAAAATTATCAAAAACTTTACTTCATTGAAAAATTTCATGAGCAATATATGCTATTACTGTAGTATTTTCTACACAGTACGTACTGGTGGATTCTCTGTAAACACCAATTTCCTAAAATATGAAGAAGCTTCCTCCTTCATCTCTTCTTCTGTTTTCAGAAACAAATCTTACCATTTACTTCAAACAAAATAAATCTCCTGAGACAGTTTCATCCTGCACAATGTGTACCCCACAATTGCTTAGTATTCTGAGGTGTCTCGCGGGGAACAGGTGTTAAAAACATTTCTATTTTCTGCCTCTGTGCTCTGTTTCTTGTGGTACCCTAAGTTCTTCAAAGCTTTCAGTTTGTCTTGTGGGCTTTAACACTGAAATGCCCAAAGCTCTTAAGGAGCCCTGGTCTTCTCTCTTGCCTTCTTTCCTTCTAGACCTTGTCTTTCAAAGAAACAAAATAAAACAGAACTCTTGGCAATGACTGAGATCTCAGAAACCTCAGGAACACTTCGACTGAGGCGACAGAACCTCAGAGTCCAGTCCGACGGCCTCGAAGACATGATGCATTGTACAAACGTGTTCTCAGGTTTTCTCATTGCTTCCTGCCTTGATACAGGTCTCTGGCTCAGCAAGATTTAAATCTTAATTTCTCAAGGCCAATAGCTCCTCTCCACGCCTTTTGGCTCAGGCATATCTGGAAGGTTCTGAGAGGATGGCCCCACAGTATTTCTCTCAACAAGCCAAACCTTTTCAAAGAGTTAAATTCCTGTTTCTTCTCTGCCTCTCTCCACCACGTGTGTACACACACACACACACATATATATATATATGCACAATTTTGTTTACTTTTAATTTTTTGCTCTCAACTAACTTCTCAACGAACTTATCAGTTTGTCCCCAGGGTTTCCTGTCTGGGGGAAGCGGGATGTAAATCAGAAAGGAAAGGGAGGAAGAGGCGTCCACTTACCGTCCTCCGAACCGTCAGCACCATAATGGTTGTCGCCGTGAGGACGAGACACAGCGCCAGCATGGCCGTGGTGAAGTAGAAGTAGCGGCGGCTCGCGGCGCCCAGGTGGCCGGCCACGGAGCCCGCAGGCTCGTGCATGGCTGCGTCCCGAGGAGGGGCCCCTTGGCTGAGTGCTTGCCGCGGCCCGGGGTCCATTCTTTATATAGTCTTCCCCACATCACACCTTATCTCTCCTCATCTGATCCGGTTCTGGGCTCATCTCGGTTCCAAGAAGGATTCTCCCCCTGCATCCTGGATCATGTGACTTGGAAAAAAACCTTCACCGGCTGCCTCGTGGAGAAACTCTGCTCTGGGGGCGTGAGGCAACGGGCTGCGGCTCGGGTGGGGGAGAGGTTCATTTTTCACTGCCAGGGATTGATTTGAGTGCAGAGAAACTGTCACCACGGAGAAGGTGGCTGATGTCAGAGGGCACGTAGGAAAATGACGGTTCCTCTACTCTGTGTGTGTGTGTGTGTGTTTGTGCGCGTGCACCAAGCAGCTTCTGCTTCCTTTAGGCTTGGCCACAAATGCCTTCATGCCTGAGAAGCCGCACATTCTTTCATCGAGGCCTGCTCTCGGAGGGCCTCAGAGGCTGTGTCTTTGCTGGGCCTCAGGGGTCTGGATCCCTTGACCGGCAGCAGAATAACTTCAAAGGGTTCAGTTTGATCCTATCGGCTCCTGCTGGAAACGGGAAATGCTGCCGGGTATTTGGAAAGGAAGAGCCCACAATGGGAAGATTTATCCGAAGGGGGACAAGCTCATGGCAGTATGCAATTTGGGGGCAGGATACTGTAAGAGAGCAGGGACCTGGAAACATGGATCATGTGCACAAGAACACTCCCACAGAGTGTTTTGGGATCTGTTAAACTTGCAAATGAACCTGGGCCAGCCATAACACTCAGAAAGAGGAAGGAATTGGCAGTGAGGCTGGGGGAAGGGAGGCAGTGCGGCGGGGACTGTGGGAGGGGTGGGTTCCGTGTGGTGCGTGTGCGTTGCATGTGTTGTGTGTTCTGTGTGGTGTATGTATGCCGGGGGTGCATTTGTGATGTGTGATGCATGCTGTGTGCGGCGTGGCGTGTGTTGTGTGTGTGACTGACAGAATGGAACCCCAACTATCTCAGGCAAGCGCTAGGAGCTTTACACATGGTGTCACTCCTTTTCCATCTCCATCCTCGGAGGCAGGTAATATTTCTCTTTCACATGTGGAAAAATTGAAGCTCTGAGAGGATGAAAACTGTCTCAACCAAAACTGCAAACATTGATCATGGAAAGAACTTGGGTGCATATCCAAACCTACCTGGCTTGCAACTTATCCTAAGTCAGTCAATCCTTCACTGCACTGGAAGGCTGAAAGCCTGAGGTCTGGTCTCAGCCCTCCTTAGCCTTTGGTCCTCGTACAAGTCCTTTCCCTAGTCCCCTCCTGCGTTACAGTCACGGGGAAGATCAAGTGAGATGACGGAAGAGGACCTTGTGGGTGGAAATAGATTTGGCGGATGGTGTTGGATAATTCCTGTGAAATATCCCGAGTGGTCCCCCTAAATTCTAAGTCCGGAATTTAGACAGCTAACACAGACAGATTCTCTGGGGGACAGAGCTGGGTCACATCTGTGGTTCCTAATGATCTCCATCTCAAAACACCACTTAAAATGTCAATCACGGCATAGTTGCTGCCTCCAGATGTGGCTCTTTGAGGGCTCCGTGTGGCGTCACCCCGCAAGTCCCATCCTTCGTAGCACCCCCTTCCCTTTCTGCTCACTGTTTTGGCTGCACTGCATCACTGAGAGCCAGCAGAGAACCCAGCCCCACCTAAGGAAATGTCTGAAGCCATCGTTGGATTATTGCCATTTATATCCCTGCATAGATCCCAACATCTGAGTATTGGTTGACTTAGGTCAGACTTTAGGAGTTGGTCTGCATAATCCTTCCCAGGGAATCATAGAAGCATAGATTCTGGAGACAGAAAAGGCATCGAGAGAGATGTATTGTTTTCTTGGGCTCAACAGAGTGGTAGGCAATACACCCATTTTGCAGTCAGGGAAGCTGAGGCCCCCCTTGATCCCAAGTCGACTGAGTGTGGTTTTGGAAGAGGTGTGTGTACACATTCACTTGTTCTGGCAGTAGCAGTGGAGTGAGGCAAGCCAGTGTTTTCTGGAGCATGGACCTGGCTGAGCTGCGGAGCGGCTGGGTCCTCCGCTGGGCAGGGATGGTGAGTGGGTAGCGGGGGCCTTCGATCTGCCCGGACCTGCTGAGAACAGGCTGCTCTCTCTCTCGGCCCTCTCGTTCAGCCTCTTTGATCAAAGTGGAAAACTTCTGATTGTTGAATGGAAGCTGTGGGTGTTGAAGAATAAAAAGGCTTTGCTTGAAATTCAGGTCTTCCTGAAGGCCTGTGGGGCTGAGAAGGGCAGTGGAAAAAAATGTTTGTCTTACAGTTACCCGTTTTGCATACAGTGTAATGTCCTAGGAGGGAAGGCTGACAAGGGGGAAAATCACCCTTTGTTTTTACTCAGAACCTTCTAAGCAGTTGAGATTTTCAGATCATTTTCTAGTGCAGTAGTTTGTGGGCCCAATTTCACTTCTTTTGCTGTGGCACTCCTCCCCGCTCACAAGCCATCACGGGCTCCCTGTTTCCCACTCCCATGGTCCTAATGCCCTTTGTGCTTTCCAGATGTCCCAGAATCAAGCCGCTCAATTTGCACATGGAAGGATCCTTTATGGAGTTTCCCGTTGAGTCATTTTCAGATCCTTTCTGGAAGCAAAACTGAACAGGAAGTATACAAATATGAGACAGCAGAGTTGTTCTGGCTGAAGCCCAGGCGGGATGGAGAGAAGGGCTGAGCCTGCTCATTCACCCTTTTCTGGCCTGGGATCTCGCCAAGAGGAATGAAATAGAGAAATTATGATTTAGCCCAAATCCCTCATTTCTCAAAATGAGGAAACTGAGACACAGAAATGAGAATGGCGTGAGGAAGGACACGCGAGGAGGGATGAGACAGGCTTGAGAGCCCCCTTGCTCATTCTTACAACCCTCTCTGCTAATATTCCAGGCACACCCAGGCTTCCTTTCGTGTTCCCTCGCCTTTCCACTGCTTGCATCCTTCCTTTCCCTCGAAGCCCCTGCCGGCCCTCCCCAACTCCTCCAGGAACCCAGATCTCTCAAGTCCACCAACATCCTCTCTCCAGAAGCTTCTCCCTCCACACCACACCACCTCATCATCTAAGTATCTACTTGTCTTGATGTATAATGGTCAGGTGTGTGAACACGTGTGAATTTTGTCTTCTCCATGAGATTGCAGTCCCCGAGGGCAGTCTGCACTCTCCCAGTGTTCTTTCTTTTATTTCAAAGTATTAATTAAGGGGTATAAGTGTTTTTGTTACATGGATACCTTGTGTAATGCCTCAGTCAGGCTTTTGGTGTGCCTGTCACCACAAGAGTGTTCATTGTACCCAATAGGTAAGTTTTTAAGCCTCACCCACCTCCCCCTTCTTAATTTCTTATGTCCTTTATATCACTTTGCGCCTGTGTACCCATGTATTAGCTCCCACTTATTAGTGAGAACATATGGTGTTTGGTTTTCCATTCCTGAGATACTACATTTAATGGTCTCTAGTTCCACCCAAGTTGCTGCAAATGACATTATTTCATTCCTTTTTATGGCTGAGCAGTACTCCATGGTGTGCGTGTATATATATATATATATATATATATATATATATATATAGAGAGAGAGAGAGAGAGAGAGAGAGAGAGAGAGAAAGAGAGATAGATAGATAGATAGATAGATATAGATATAGATATACACACACACACACCACATTTTCTTTATCTATTCATGAACTGATGGGCACTTAGGCTGATTCCACATCTTTGCAATTGTGAATCATGCTGCAATAAACATTTGAGTGCAGGTGTCTTTTTGATAAAACAAGTTCTTTTCCTTTGTGTAGATACCCAGCTGTGGGATTGCTGGATCAAATGGTAGGTCTACATTATTTCTTTGAGGAATCTTCATACTGTTTTCCATAGAGGTTGTACTAATTGTCAGTCCCACCAACAGTGTGTAAGTGTTCCTTTCTCTCTGTGTCCATGCCAGCATCTGTTGTTTTTTGACTTTTTATTTTTTTTATTTTTTATTTTTTCCTTTGGCGAATGACATGTTCCAGAATGTTTTTTGACTTTTTAATGATGGCCATTCTGATAGGGGTAAGGTGGCATCTCACTGTAGTTTTAATTTGCATTTCCCTAATGATTGGTGATGTTGAGTATTTTTTCATATGTTTGTTGGCCATTTGTCTGTCCTCTTTCAAAATGCTTGTGTTCCCTTGGTCTTCAGATTTCTTGCATTCCACCTTGCATTATGTGGTGCTGGGTCGATGTATGGTCAACCCTCAGTGGATGCTTGTGTTGACTTTGTGTATATGAAAAGTGAAAGTTCTAGAAGGACTGCTTATACAAAGGAACTGTGTGATGGCATTTTTGGGTTTCACTTCTCAACTGTCCTCCATTTCCCCATCCTTCTTCAGACAGTGGCCTCATGAGAATGACCACTAGCCTCCTTTCGGCCTGTAATTAGTTGCTGAGGTGTGGCAGCAGCCCGTGAGACTCAGTGGGCAAACAGAACTAATCTCTCATCCTTTCAAGAGAGAACCCCATTTTGAAAGAAAAATGAAGAAGAGCCAGAGTAGCCCCCCACCCACTGCTTTACCAGATAAGGGGCTGTGAGATCAAGCTCTATCATATGGACTAGTGGTTCTCAGGTATGGTCCTTGGACCAGCAGCATGAGCATCTGTAGCACCTGGGAACTTGGGGGAACTTTCTAGACCTCTGAGACCTACTGAATTAGAAACTCAGTCTGGGGTCCAGTGATCTATGCTTTAACGGGCACTTTGAGGAATTCAGAGGCCTGAAACCATTTGAGAAACAGTGGTTTAGGGAAATAACTTGTCTACTTTCCAGAAAGAACATCCAAGGGATCATCTGGTCCAGACTCTGGCCTGTGGTTCAGCTCTAATGCCCAATCTCTTCAAGTTAGCCCCGGCAAGACAAAGACTCTCCTGTGAATAAGATAGGACCTTTCCTCCTCAAAAGACAATTTAGTTGCATATTTTATTGCATATAAACATACCCCAGGGGAGTCTGTCATCCTTTCACATACCCCAAAGGTTTTTAAAAAATATTTCTTTCTACCACATACGGTGATCACCACAAGAGAACCTTAGCTGAATATCTTATCTCCACTTTATTCCAAATATAAATCCATCTGCATAAGCAATAGTATTTTTAAAGCCCCCACCCCATCCCAACTCCCACCCCCCATCAATAAAAAAAATTGTCTTCCATGAAACCAGTCCCTGGTGCTGAAAAGGTTGGGGACCACTGATTCAAGGGAGAGAAAAACTAGTCTTTATACCAACATTAGCCCCCTACATGACCCTGGACAATCACTTTCTTATGCCTCAGTCACAATGGAAGGAGTATTTCACCT